TTCTATGACACCAAAGCCACATGCAACAGAAGAAAAAGAATAGACAAATTAGACTGCCATAATTAAAAACTTTGTGCTTCAAAGAACTATCAAGAAAAGTTTAAAGTTAACACAAGGAGTAGGAGGAAATATATGCAAATCACATATCTGATAAGGGTCTTGTACTTAGAATAAAGAACTCAGCTCAACAATAAAAGGAGAAATAATTTACAAATGGGAATGGATGGACATTTCTACCAAGGAGATTCACAAAATGGCCAATGAGCACATGAAAGAGATGCCACGTCCATCAGCCACCAGGGAAATGCAAATCAAAGGCCATAGTCAAATCTCATATACAATAGGATGCTATAACAAAAATTTGGACAGTAACAGGTGTTAGCAAGGAAAGCTCGCACAAAGCTGGTGGGAGTGTAAGATGGTGCAGCTGCTAAGGAAAACAGCTGGCTAGTTTCTAAGCAGCTAGTTTCTAAGCAGGATGCACACAGTTACCACGTGACCCAGCTATTCTGCTCTGTGGCATATACTCAAGAGAACTGAAAGCATATTCCCACACACAAACCTGTACATGAATATTTGTAGCAGATTCATAATAACCAAAAAGTGAAAACAACCCAGAGGTCCACCTAATTAATGCATATACGAAATGTTTATTGATACAATGACATCTCTTTTGGCAATAAAAGGGAATGCAGGCCAGATGTGGTGGTGTGCGCTTGTAATTCCCGCACTTCAGAGGCTGAGGTAGGATGATCATGAGTTTGAAACCAGAGGATCTACAAAGAAAAAAAAAATTCAAAACCCCAGTCCCACCAAAATAAATAAACACATACACAAATAAATAAAAGAAGATATAAAAAAATAAAAAGCAATACAGGCTGACAGAGTGCTTGCCTAGCATGTGTGAAGATATGATTGCCAGCATCTGGGAGGGGGGGAAAGAATGAAGTGTGGAGCATGATGACACATGCCTGTAGACCCAGCCACTGGATAGGCTGAAGTAGAAGGATGACTTGCGCCCAGGAATTCAGAACCAGTTTGGGTAATAGAGTGATACTGGTTTTCTGATTTAAAAAAAAATGAAGAAAAAGAACACAGTATTGGTATATGCTGTAAGTTTGCACAGGTAACTCGTAAAAACATCATGCTCAGAAGTCACCTACAAGGGATCACAAGTCGTGTGGCTGTATTTATTCATTTATTAGTTTGTGGATCCCGGGGACTGACCCTGGACCTCAGGCATGCTAGGCATATGCTCTACTAGTGAGTTATACTCCTATGGGCCCATTTATGTGAAGTGTCCAGAACAGGCAAATTTATGTAGGCAGAAAACATATTAAATATTGCTAGGGGTGGAGAGCACAGAGCAGTGACTGCTGATTGGTACAAGGTTTCTTTTTTGAGAGGTTAAAAATGATCCCAAATGAATTGTGGAAATGGTTGCACAACTCTACAAATACACTAAAACTCATTGACTTGTATATATATGTATTTTTTTTTCTGTGCTGGGTTTGAATTCAGAGTCTCAGGTTTGTAGGTAGGTACTCTGCTACTTGAGCCATGCCCCCAGGCCTTTTGCCTAGCCATTTTTCTTTCTTTTTGATGGTACTGGGATTTAAACTCAGGACCTCGTTCTTGCTAGGCAGGTACCCTACTGCTTGAGCCATTCTCTCAGCCCTGCTTTAAATTAAGGTCTTTCAATTTTGCCTGGACTGGCCTAGACTGTGATTCTCTTATTTATATCTCCCACATAGCTGGGATAACAAGTACACACTACTATGCCCAGCTGAGATGGGGTCTCAAGTATGTTTTACCTAGGCTGGCCTGGAATCTTCTCATCTACACTTCTCAAGTAGCTGGGATTACAGGTGTGAGCTACCACACCTGACCTAAAATCTTTATTGTTTATTTATGAGATACAATATGATGTTTCACTATATGAATACATTTTGTAGTAATTACAGGTTAATTAGCACATCTCTAACCCTCAAACCTTTACTATTTCCTCGTGTTGAGAACATTCAAAATTCTTCTTGATATTTTGAGATATGTAATATTATTGCTGACTATAGAGTTGTACATTTAAATAGGTGGATTTTATGGCATATGAATTATATCTCGATAAAACTGTCACAAAGCAACAGAACGTGTTTAGTTTGCGTGTTTTTGAGATGGGGTCTTGCTATGTTGTCCAGGCTGTCCTCAAGTGATTCTCCTGTTTTGGCCTTCCCATTTAGCTAGGACTAACCCAGGCTCTTTGAGCACAGTATCTGTGCCCCTCTTTTGAAGTTTACCACACAGCACCTGGTCTTTTAATTACTTTTTTCCAATCAGAATGGTACATTGTACCCTTCAAATAGTGAGGATCTTCCAGATTTGTTTCCTTTAGCATGTATTTCCCAAATTCTGTCATGGGCATAGATTACTTTTATATTTGAAAGAATACATTGTATGGAAGTGGAAATATTTCACTAACAAAATTATTAGTTCCCACAGAGCAAAGTCTGTGTCCCCTTGTGCCTTCTTCAGATTCTTACCAGTGACTTGTAGATATTTTTTATAATAGCGCTGGATTCGAATGGTTGTAAGTCTTTGAGCCTTTGTAGCCTATGCGAATTTGTTATTGGTAATGGAGTTCAGGAAAAGCAGACATTACTTTAGGATTATAAACCTTTTTTTTTTTTTCTGGTGGGACTGGGATTTGAACTCAGCTTTGCACTTGCAAAGCAGGTGCTCTACTGCTTGAGCCACACCTCTAGTCCATTTTGCTCTGGTTATTTTTGGAGATGGGGTCTCATGAACTATTTGCCCAGGCTGACCTTGAACTGTGATCCTCACTGTCTCAGCTTCCCAAGTTAGGATTACAAGAGTGAGTTACCATGAGTAATCATATAAACATAGTTTTACAGAAGGCAAAAATTACATTTTGATTTGAATGTTTCAATGCCAAGTACTTTAGAGATACAGTAGACAATTTTTGTGTGTGTGCTAGGGATTGAACTCAGGGCTTTGCACATGCTGGGCAAGTGCTCTACCACTGAGCTACATCTCCAGCTCTTATTTTTTAAGGCAGGGTCTCAGTTTATAGCTGAGGGTGGCCGAGAACTCCTGATCCTCCTGCCTCTACCTACCAAGTGCTGGGAATTCAGGTATGAGCACAGCTTGGTAGACAAGATGAATTTGGTAGAAAATACTCATTTTCACATGGATCCAGATATGCCATGCAGGTCCACCCGTTTCCCCTCCTGCTGCTTACTCCGTGGTGTGGTCCATTGTGGCAGCTCACGCCAGTGTACTGGAGTTGTTTTGCAAGCACCTGTGTTTACCTTGTCATCTTTGTGAAGACAAGGTCATGTCATTAGTGTGTTCCCTCCACTTGCCTTCTTTATCTCTGCTTTGTATGTCCACCCTTCTTTGGAGGACAGGTGGAAGGGGTGGTTGGCTGGCCTGTACTCAGCACTATCTGTGTGTAGGACCCGGCTTCTGTCCCTTCACATTTGGTCACCATGTTTGCTCCTCTCCATGATTCTGCTGGATGGCTTTTTCAACCTCATTTGAGATGAGGGAGCTGAGGCACAAATGTAAGTGGCCACGAGGACAGGAGTGGAGGCAGCTGGGTGTGCAGTTACAGCAGACCTGGTGCCTGGCTGTCTGGGCTAGAGTCCTCCTCCCACCCACTGCTGGCATCCCTCTCTGTCCCCAGCTTCCTCACAGGGATGATAATAGTCCTGTCTCACAGGCTGGAATAAGGACTGGATTGGCCACTTATTTGTACTGGACTTGGAACAGTGCCTAGCAGTGCCCGAATGTCATGTAAGTGTTTTCAAAGTACACGAACTAAAGCCGGTGTGACTCTAAAGCAGGGAATGGTGCAATTTCAGGCCTGCTCTGTGTGACATCCCCGTTACAGTGCCAGCATCGGACCAAGACTAAACTTAGACTCTGGTCAGGGGACAGGGATTTAGCACTTGCAGACCTTCTGCCATGGTCGGACACCCCTTGCCAGCAGCCTTTCTAAAGAGGTGGAGCTATTCATGCTAGGTCAGCCAACAGTACTGAGCTGTGTACTCAGTGCTTGACTCCTTGGGGCCAGAGTTTCTCAGTGGCCTGCAGGTTGCCCCAGCCCCAATCTGGGTGGACTTTACCTGTTCCCTACTGTCATTTCCCAACTTCCCTCACCATTCTGCCGACACGCCAGGCCTTTACTGGTTCCTCCATCACCACCAAGCTCATTCCTGCCTCAAAGCCCGGGCACCTAACTGGAAATGTTTGTGCCGGATGGTCACGTGGTTAGCATCTCTCTCATTCATGTCACCTCACCATCAGAAAAATCTTCCATAATCTTTCATTTGGGCTGTCAGGTAAAAGAGAAGGATGCTCAAGCCGGGATGGCTGAGCGGGGCTTAAGGGACCATTAGAAGTGGGCAGGGGAGGAAGTAGATGGGATGCGGGGCTTTGACCATCCCTGGGCCTGGTGGTGGAACATAGCAAGAGAAGTCAGGTAGCCTTCGGGACCCTCTGCAGTGTCCAGTGGAGCAGTGTCCTCAACCCTCTGGACCCTGGCAGTGAGGAAGGGGGAAACAAAACCCCACTCTCCTCTAGCCCTCTTCTGCCTCTCATTAATAGAACCTGAGCGCACTGGGCACCCAGAGAGCCTGTGGGAAGTCAGCGGGCACTTGATGTCCCCAAGCCATTGTGATGTTAGCAGATAAAGCCTGGTACAATGATTTTTTTAAAAAGCGTTTATTGTCTTACTCCCCTCCAGCACACACACTCCCTCTAGAATGAATATCTTGAGGACAAGGACTGGGGCTTGTTTTCTTTTTTCATCTGTAGGTCTCTAGCGCCTAGCTCCGTGCCTGGCGAGCGGTAGTAGGCGCCCCATCGATATTGTTTGAATGAATCAACAGACTAGGGCCCAGGTAGCTTGACAGCAGTTATTTCCTTTTCTTCTTTCTTACAGAAAGATCAGGAGGCTGAATACTTTAGGGCGTAGGGCCATGGACTGCCCCTCTAGTCCCCATCTCTGCCGCGGGAAGGGACGGCATGTGTCCGCGCATCCTCCTGCCCCGCCGCAGCAGCGCGGTCCCCGGAGACGCGTGCGCCTAGCTCGGCTTGCGTCTCCCAGGTGCAGCCAGATGCGCCCGCCCCTGGACAGCGGGCCTAGCGCGGGGACGTGCGGGGTGGCCAGCCCAATCCCTCTCCTGGTACTGGTGTGAGCCGGGAGGGGGACACCCAGCGCTCGCTCCAGGTTATTTTTAGCCGGTAGCTGACTCCCTCCCCCCTCCACCTCCCCGGGGTGGGGCGGAGCGGCCCGAGAAGGTGGGAAGGGGAGGGGGGGGCTCCGGCCGCCTCCGCGCTCGCTCCCTCCGGGCACTCACAGCGGCGCGAGGCACAGCTGCCGAGGCGTCCCCGGGCAGTGCGCTCGGCTCCTCGGGGACCTGCGCCTGGCGGGGGAGGGGATCGCGGGGAGGGGAGAGCGGCGCGCGGGAAGGGGCGGGGAGCGCGCTCCTGCAGCGGCGGCGGCGGCGGCGGCGGCGGCGGCCGTGCTCATCCCGGCGGCCCAACGATCGAGTGGACGCCGGGCTTCGCAAATGGCTTGTCCCGCTCTCGGTCTGGAAGCTCTTCAGCCCCTGCAGCCCGAGCCGCCCCCCGAGCCCGCCTTCTCCGAGGCGCAGAAGTGGATCGAGGTAGGTGCCGCGGGCTGGCGGGCGGCCTTGCAGGGGCGCACGTAGCTCAGGTCCAGCCTCGCCTCCCCCCACTTTCTTTGCCAGCTACTGCGAGTCACCCTGAGGGGCCTCGAGCGAACTGCGATTCCTTGGCGTTTTGGCATTGGCGTCCCGGGAGGGTGGGTGCGAATGGGGGACACTGCAGTGTAGCTGTGCGCCAGCCGGCAGGAAGCGGTCCCTGCGCCTTCATCCCTCCTGCCCGCTGGCCTTGAAAATCTCAGCCCGCACCGCTTCCAGGCGCTGCCAAGGGCTGCCAGGGCGAGCAGAAACGCTGCAAAGGCGCCAGAAGCTCGAGCCCCCAGAGCCCTTGTGGGCGCCGCATTTTGGGGTGCCCTGCTCCCTGTCCCATGCTCCGCCTCTTGGCCTTCCTAGTCGCCCTTCCGGAGCGGAGCTGGTAGTGTCTCCACGGAGGTGCGTACCCACCGGAGCCTCTGGGCTGTGATCCTGGCACAGGTTCAGGTGTGAGACTGGCAAGGAGCACAGGCTGGGAGGGAGGGGTTAACCTGCAAGACCCACCTGCGAGCGTGCCATCCGCGTGGACGCTGCCCAGCCATTGACAGCCCTTGCTCCATCCTAGAGGCCGCAGGGTGGGTACCCCGGGGTTGGGTACCCGGCCTGGTTGGCATATTTCACTTCTTAAATGACTCGGTTAAATGACAGGCCAGGGAAATCACTGGAGCTCTCGGCTCAGTCCTGGAAGCGCTTGCTGGGTAATCCTGATTCTCGATGCCTAGATGTAGCTTCGTAGCCCTGCGTTTCCGAAATGACGGGATTGCGGGGGTCCGCATGGTTGGAGAGCGCGAGGGGAAAGGTGACCCCTTGAGTTCCATGCAAGGAACCTCTGTTTCAATGGGCGGCCTTTCTTGTGCTTAGTAGGAGAATTTAGTTCCCTTTCCCTTAATGACACACAGCTCCCTTTAATAGTTCAAAGGAGGAAGTGTACCTCGAAATCATGACTGAGCAAAGATGAAGCATCCTAATATTCAGTTTGTCACCCACATCCCTGGGGGCACCGAAGATCTCAACCTGCTGAGTGCCCGTGGAAAGCACTCTCAATACTGCTGGAAGGCTCCAGCCCTAGGCCTGCCCCTTTCAGAGTGAACCTGCTTCATGCAAGCAAGTGTTCCTCAGAGTTTAGAAACACCTTTTTCAAAGTAGAGTTAAAGAAACAGAAGAATAAACTCAACACTCTATTGTTAAAAGCCCAGTCATGGCTCTCATAATTTAATAGGTCAACCCCAGATGAGAAAAAGACTTTATTTTTGATCTGTGGCTGGAAGGCTTGGAGTGTGACAGGTGTTCTCTCTGTGCTGCATACTTGGGCTGATGAGGCTAACACAGGGACATTTGCAGTCACTGGCTTAGTGGAGAGTTGGATGACTATAATTTTTAGGTTCTTGAACTCGACAATTTTCCCGAGAGATTTTGGATGTGGGTGGGGTGAAGGAGGAGGTAAGGAAAGAATAGCCTTGCTAAATTCTGTTTTCTTACTAGCAATTAACATTTTCACACGATCCTTTAAAAAGTATTGTGTAAACTGCACACAGAAAGGCGCATACATCTGAAGTGTATACCTTCATGGATTTTAGCATATGACTATATTACTACAGCCCCTGCCTAGATCAAGATATAAAATACCCACTTGTGGTCTAGTTTTTAGTGGAGAGATACCAGGCTAGATATTATGCAGTACAGAACAGAAGCCTTATACCAGTTTAAGAAATGGAAGGAGAGGTTCCTTAAGAAAATAAAGCCCTTTAGGCCCTTACGACAATTGGATCTTATTATTGGTACTTTGCCTTTATTCCAATTGAAGAACGTGAAAACCCTAATAGTGCGTGTGTGCGTGGCTTTAGGACCTGCTGCCGGGTGCGTGTACATTATTGAAGCGGCCTATCTCCTTTCAATTGGGGAGTTCGATTTCACGGAAAAGGAGAGTTCCCCCTCCCCCACCATATAAAAAGGGTATTTGCTCCGGGAGAGATAGAGACCTTCCCCTTCCTTCCCCAGGTTCCGTTGAAATATAAGTGCTGTGTCTGCAAATCCGGGAACGCGGGGTCAGTCACAGACGGTTTTGCACGCACTTGCCCTGTGAACAAAGATTCCTTGGCTAATATAGTAATGATGTGGTTTTAGTGTGAGCCCAATTCCCAGGGGAGTCTTATCTTGAGACAATTGCATCTCCGTTAGGGGCCCATTGTCCCTGGCAAGATCCTTATTGGTAGGGCTTTGTTTTTCGCTTTTGTTCTGTTGGTGATTAAATTTCCCACAGGCTTTTTTTTTTTTTCCTTCTTCTTTTTGAGTAGTCAGGAATTTCACCCTTTCAGAAAAATGTTCCCTTGGGGGCAGCAGGTTAATAAACAAACTTTGCTGCCTGTCTCTCTTCCTCAGTCCTGGTCTTCCTTGCTCAGGGCTCAAGAAACAAACTTGTTAGGAATTTCTCAGCCTGCAGCCTTGGCTATTTGAGGACTGTGTTACTGGGCAGGAAATGTGGCCTGGTTATGAGGTTCCTATCTCACCCCGCCCCCAATGTTGGCCCTTAGCTGGCAAAGGTGACCTCTCTAATGGGACTCTCATGGTCACAGGCTGTGTGGGGATCACAGGTAACACTGCCAGCAACTTTTTATAGCTGTAGGAGCAGGTTGTGTGTCTTAACTGTGGGTTTGGGGAGACTCCGAAAGGAAATGACAAAGTTCAAGTATTAATTGCCTGTCTACCAGCAGGCAGGGGCTATCTTCCTTCACACTCCTGTTCTAGAAGGTCTTTCTAGGCAAGGAGCAGCAAGTGCATCCCATCCCAGTGGCTCAGAAGTCCAACGTCAGGGCTGGACATCCTGCATTTGAGTCCTGGGTCTATCACCTTCTAGCTGGGTGACCTTGGGCAAGCTGCCTTTCCTGTCTTTTTGGTTCCAAATATTTTGTTTGAAAGAGAGCTCTAGTTGTTAAAAATAACAAAGAAAGATGGTTGAAAACATCTGTAAAGCAGGATACTAAATAGCTCACCTACCTTGTAGAGTGCTGTGAGGATTTAATAAGTTAATATCTTTAAAATGCTTAGAATTGTGCCTGGTACTTAGGAAGTATGACTTAAGTGACAGCTAGTATTGTTAATGGCATTAGTGTCACTGCTATTATTCTTACAAGTATCGTATTGCTACCACTGCTATTGTTACTGCTGTCAATAACAACTAAGCCTACTTTTGAAAGGAATTCTTCTTGAAACTTAGGTTTCCAGCGTGGAGAATATAATTTAATTACCTATTTTTATCTTATTATCTTACTATTCTTTCATTCATTCATGCAAAGATCCAGGCCTTGTATGTGCTAGGCATGAGCTCTACCACTGAGCTACATCCCCAGCCCATCTCTAGGGAAACTTGAACTACAAGTTAAGCAGATGCTACGTATTACTCTTATTTGCATTAAAGTGATTTTGGGATCAGTGGAAAACCTGTAATATCTGCCAATAAGATGATCACAACTAGACAGTCAAGTCTTAGAAACTCAAACTTCAATATTATGTTGAATATTGAAGTTTAATGTGTAGCTTTTGTTACTCAACTGCAAGCAGAATGCTCCATGCCTCTCCTCTCACAGCTGATCCATATTAAATTATTATACACATAATGAATGTCCAAATATTCATCTCAAAGATAGCAGCTTTGCTCACTGAGGTTGTGTCAACTCCTGCTAGAAAAAAGAATAATTCCTCCATTAATTTTCCTTCTCCCTTGCTCCCTTCTTTTCATTCTTTTGTAATGGCATTGAGTGAGTTCCAGTTTGCTGCTGGTAGGTAGCTGATTCTATTTTTTTCTGGTTCTCCTGTCCCTTTTGTCGCCCTACCCACCAGTGTTGTCTGTTCTAATCTATAGTTCTCTTCAGGGTTAAACACTTTCTGGAGGAACAGATGTCCCTTCAAGTTGGTTTCATTCCTGATTTGGAACAGGTTGCCAAACCTTTAGGGAGAGGCTGGAAATTTCAACCCAACTCAGCCTACCTTCTCAGTTTGGGAAGTTTCTAGATTCCATTAACTTTAATCCTAGCGTACCCATGGGGTTTGGTGAAGGGTGCAGCCTTACCTGTGACCTTATCCACATCTCACATGAGTGGGAACTAGGGCTGAAAGGATCAGTTTGTCCTTCCGGTTCATTTCCCTATGTCCATGTAGAACTTTCCTTTTATTCAATGGGACCTGATTCTGAAGATTAAAAATGCTAAGGGTTCCTTAGTGCTGCAAGGCTGAAAGATGTTGCATTGCTTGGCAGTAAAATTTATGAGTAGCCTTGGAGATAATCTAGCATTTGGTAGCCAGTAACATAGGACATTTGTGTTATCATGCTGTTAAGTTATATAGTCATTCTAATTTTCCATCTCTGTAGGGACTTGATGTTTAAATCTTTTTTTTTAATTGCAACAAAGATTTAACTTTGCAAATGGTCTTTCAGCTCGGCTTGGGAGAGACAGAAGAGGAAGAAAAACCTTTCTGGCTAGATCAAGAAAGGAATAGTAGTCTGAAAAGATCTGTAAACTAGAGCATGTAGCATCTTTCTCACAATGACATTTAAAGTAGCCTAGATTGTTTGTATACAAGGGCTGCTATGACACAATGCTGGTCATGAGGTAGGAGAATAGTGAAATCCCACAGATTTGGGGAAAAGGGGTGGGATGGGAGGTGGAGCTGGCACTTCTTGCCTCAGCATCTCCCTGGAAACTGATTGCATCAAGCAACTTCCAAATGGGCAGACAGCACCAGCCTGCAAGAAGGAATGTGTGTGTGTGTGTGTGTGTGTGTGTGTGTGTGTGTGTGTGTATGGGGTATGCGTGTACAGCTGCTGGATCTCTTGGCCCCCCTGCTTCCCACTGGTGGATGACAATGGAGCCATGATGCAGACATCTGGCCTTGAGTCCTTGGGTGGCAGTCAGTGCTTGGTGGGACAAGGCGGCTCTAGAAATGCTGGAAAT